CTTTACTTTTACTCTGTATGTATCTTTCATTCTGAGGTGGGTCTTTTGAAGACAGCCTGTATATGCATCTTCTTCTCTTATCTATTATGTTATCGTATGTCTTTTTACATTTAAAGCCATTTAAATGTAAAGCCATTTGCGTTTAAAGTGATTATTTACATAGAAACCATTAATAAGTAATGCACAGTTAAGCCATTTACATTTAAAGTGATTATTGATAGATACATATTTATTGCCATTTTATTTTTTTAAACTATTTTGCTGTGTTTCTTCTCCCTCTTTTCTTCTCCTCTTCCTCCTTCTCCAAGTAAGTCTTTTACCATTTGTTACAATACTGAATTTGTGGTAACAAATTCCTTTAGCTTTTTCATGTCTGAGCAGCTCTTTCTTTCTCCTTCAATTTTAAATGATAGCCTTGTTAGGTAAAGTAGGTTGTAGGTCCTTACTTGTCATCACTTGAAATATTTCATGATACTCCCTTCTGCTCTGAAATGGTTCTGTTGAGAAATCATATGACATTCTTATAGGAGCTCCCTTGTAGCTAACTACCTGCTCTTCTCTTGCAGCTTTTAAAAGTCTCGCCTCATCTTTAAGTTTTGCCATTTTAATTATGTCTTGGTGTGGACCTCTTGTTGTTTAGAACTATATGTGCTTCCTGAACTTGTGTCTTTTCCTTTTACTATGGCAGAGAAATTTTCAGTCATTATTTCATCAAATAGGTTCTTGCTCTCTTGCTCTCTCCCTTCTCCTTCTGGTATCCATATGATGTGGATGTGGTTAAACTTCATGTTGTCCCAAAGGTCCCTTAAACTATCCTCATTTTTTAAATTGTTTTTGTTTGCTGCTCTGATTGCGTGTGTTTTTTTTCCCTACTTTGTCTTCCAAATGGCTGATTCAGTCCTCTACTGCATCTCACCTACTTTTTATTCCTTCCAGCGTATTACTTATTTTACATATTGCACTTTTTATTTCTGACTGGTACTTTTTATGGTTTCTATGTCTTTTTTCATGCTGTCAAACATCCATATAATCATTACTTTGAACTCTATATCTGATAAATCGCTTGTCATTTCATTTAGCTTTTCTGAAGAATTTCCTTGTTCTTTCATTTCGCACCTGTTTTTTAATCTCCCCGTTTTGGCTGCCTCTTTTTGTTTGTTTCTATGTATTAAGTAGACCTACAAAGACAATGGTGCCACTCTATGTCAGATGCTGCCTATGACTGACCCTAGGCAACCTTTTTGGATCTGTCAGTGATTCACAGCTTGTGGCTCCCTCTGCTAGGCCTGGGTGCATGCTGAAAGAACCAAGCTGCGCACCAAGGCTGGCCTTTACCAGCACGGGCCCTGGGAGCATCAGCTAAAGTCTCAAAGCATCCAGATATCTGCCATTGCCTGTAGTGTGTCTATTAGGCTTAATCACCCAAAGAAGCTTGAGCTATGTTCTTTAGCAGGGCTTTATCAACACAGAGTAGGGCAAGAAAGACTCCTGTGGGTGAGGCTATTGAGAGGAGCGCTCTCCCTGAGAAACATGGCATCTGCAACATGGGGAATGACTAAACACAGGGATCCTGGTGGCTGACCCTTCAGCTTTCTCCCCAGAGCCACCAATACCAGACCCTCCTCACATGGCTGTCGTCTACTCTGCCTGCCCTCTTCTGGAGTCCTGAGTAAGTGATGCAAACAAACTTCTGTGCATTGACCCTTTACGACAGTGGCTGTATCTCTAGCATCTCTCCCTGAAGGAGAAAAAAACACTTCTGCTTTTCACAGCCTGATGTTACGTGGACACCTTTTTTGGCTCTGGTGCTCCAGGCTGGAGTGCCTGGCTTGGCATTTAGACCCCATACTTCTCAGGGGAACTTCCCCCTTGAGCACTGAAATATCCCTTTGGAACTTCATCTGCCACCATGGATGCCCAGCCAGCTCTCTGGCACCCCTGTACTTCCTGCCAACCTCAGTGTGGTAGTGTTGTTTCTTCTGCAAGTCCTTGGTTATAAGGCTTCTCTCTAGGTAGTCTAAAGTTGGTTATTAAGGATGATTTTTCTATAATTAAGTTGTCATTCCAGTTTGGTCCTGCTAGGTCATTAGTGTAGCTTCCACCTACTTCACTACCATCTTGGATACCCTAGGATTTTTTTTATTATTGATTTTAGAAGGCGGGGAGGAAGAGAGGGAAACATTGATTGGATGCCTCCCCTAGGCACCCTGACCAGGGATTGAACCCAAACCCTAGGTATATGCCCTGACCAGGAATTGAACCCACAATCTTTTGGCACACAAGATGATGCTCTAACTATCTGAACCACCTGGCCAGTGAGACCTAAGTCTAATTTATAGAGATAAAGAATAGCATATCTGAAATGAAAATAGAATAGTGATATGGTTAAGAACAGCTAAGACACTGAAGAAGAAAGTATTATTGAACTTGAAGACATAGTGATAGAACAATGCAAAATGAAACAGAAAAAACAGAAAAGGCAAACAGAATCAGTGAGCAGTAAAGAACATCAGCCAACCTAACATAAGCGTAACTGGAATCCAAGGAGTGGAGAGAGATGAGTAAACAGAAAAAAATATTTGAATAATGGTAAAAATTTTGACAAATTTAATGAAACCTTTAAATCCATAAATCCAAGAATTACAATGAAGAAGAAGGAGGAAGAGAAGGAAAAGAAGAAGTACACCACCAAACCAAGGGACATTACAATTTAATTTCTTAAAACCAGTAACAAAGAAAAACTTAAATTTAGCCAAGGGGAAGAAAACCCATTGCATGCAGAGGAAGAAAGAAGGATAGAAATACTCCTCAGAAACAATAAGGAGTCAGAAGTTAAAGCATTCTTTTCAAGGGGAGAGTCAGGGGGGATGTTATCTTATTTTTATTTTATTTTTTAAATATAGTTTATTGATTATGCTACTACATTGTCCCAAGGTATCCCTGCTGATTTTTATCTACCATACTTGGATGTGGGACCACCCTTTCCCATCTCCATGCTGCTCCACACCAATCCGTATCTCCTTGCCTCTCTGTGTCTCTCCTCCTCTTCATGCCTCTGTGTCTCCACCCCTCCTACCCATCTGGGTGAACGTGGCTTCTGTAAATCCTCGGTTGTTGGATTTCCACACAGCTCAATTTTCTGACCATTCTGGCAGATATTTATTTTATGGTCTAGTTGTCTTTTTTGCTATAGTTCTGCAAAGAGGCAAGGCATATTTATGGACTAAATAATGTTCTTAATGCTCAAGAAAGAATAGAGTGTGAGTTAGAAATTTGGATTTACACAATGAAATAACAGAAAATGGGAAACATGTGCAAATTGTATTTTTCTTTTAAAATTTATTTAGAATGTGATTACTCAGCTTTTTAAAGGGAAAATAATCACAATGATTATGAGTTTTATAACACATACAGAAAAAAGATACCTTACAACTTTAGGAGAAAGATTGGGGGATAAATAAATGCAAGTATTCTTTTGTAAGGTTCTTATATGTGTAGTGGTATAATATTATTTGAACATAGGATGTGATGAAGTTAAACATGTATTGTAAACCTTAAACACAAATTAAAATTTAAACAATTCAAACAAAATAAAAAATAAGGCAGGATTTTTAAAAAGGAAGAATGAACAATAGGATATATAGAAAATAAACAAGAAAGTGGAAAATTTAAATGTTAACATTTTTAAAAATCACATTATGTGAATGGTCTACACATGCTGAGTATAAAAGATTGTTAACAAGGATAAAAATTCTTTGCTCTCAAAAAAACCCTTTTAAAATAGACACAAATAAGTAAAAAGTTGAAGAATGAAAAAATACTATGTTACCAAAAATCAAAGGAATGCTGGAGTGGTTATATTGATATCAGACAGAGAGGATTTGAGAATACAAAATTTTTATATGTTTAAAAATCATCCTTTTATAATGATGAAGTAGTCAGGTTTTTAAGAAGATATGGTTATCCTAAATATTATGCACCTACTAACAATGCCAAAAATATGTACAGCAAAAACTGATAGAACTAGAAGAACAGACAAATCTCCAAATGTACTCAGAGATTTCGGTAATCAATGGATCACTTAAAAACATTACTGACCAGTTTGACCTAATTGTCATTTACAGAACACTCCAGCCAACAATAGCAAAATATACTTTCTTTTTGAGTGTATATATAGGACATTTACCAAGATAGACAATACTTTTTGTCATAAAACAAGTTTCAGAAAATTTAAAAGCTGTGAAATCATACAAAGAGTATTCTCTAACCACAATAGAAAATAATTAGAAATCAAAACTATAGCTGAAAAATCACAGAATATTTGGAAAACAAATGAAACATCTAAACAAGCTCCTAAGTCAAAGAAGATATCAGAAGGGAATTATAAAGGTATTTTGAGCTTAATAAAAGTGAAAGCACTGCACATTAAGATTTGTGGGATACAGCTATCAAACAGTGCAGAGAGGAAATTTTATAGCTTTAAATATTTCTAATAGGAAAGTATAAATATTTAAAGTCAAATATGTAAACTTGCACCTTAAAGAAACTTAAAAAAGAAAAACAAACTAAACTCAAAATGAGGAGAAATAGTAAAGATCAGTGCAGAAATTAAAATGTAAAATATGTATACATTAGAGAAAATCAATGAAAAGCTGGTTCTTTGAGGAGAGCCATAGAATTAATAAACCCCTTGTCAGACTGATTAGAAAAAAAGGGGGTTGAGGGACAGAGAGAAAGAGGAATTGTGAAATCACTATTGGTGTTTCAGATATTGAAAGAATAATAAGGAACTACTGTGAACATCCTTACCTTGGCACCTCTTTCTTAGGGCAAAACGTCCCTCTAGCTTGCCTAAATCTGAAGACAGGACTCAGATAACTATGCTCTATGGCTCTCTCCAAATGATTTTAGACTTAGATAAATTAGAAATATATATCTTAATTTAAACTTTAAGTAATTTTTACTAGAAATATAAATGCTGCAACTTTTTAAAATTTTAGGTATATATCAATTTTTAAGACGGCTGTAAAAGAGGACATGCAAAAATCTAAAACTGCGATGAAAACTATGGGACCACCAAAAGTTGAAGTACCTTCTCCAAAGGATTTCTTGAAGAAACATTCAAAGGAAAAACCTCTACCACCCAGTAGGTTTTATCACTCTTTTTAATATTTACAATGTTAACAAGGTAATTTAACTAAAATTACTTTATTGTCTATAAATATTAAATATGCACAGATAATAGCAACTTTACCTCATATTAAACAGAATTTGAGAGGCTAAAATAAGAAGAGAATGTTTAGGCAAAGAAAGAAGATAATGCTAATTTGCTCCCAAAATAGACTTTGTTTTCGGTGGTCAAGCACTGCAAACTACATCTTAGACTGTCCAATAAAGCCCCACCTCCAGCACTACACGCCTCTCTGTCCTAGTCACTAGCCATATGATTTCACTGACACTTATAAGAAGAGTTCTAAACCCCAATGGGCAAGAGTATTTTCTCCAAGAGATGAAAACTACAAGCATTATTATCGATTATTAAAGCAATGACTTTAGGCTTGAGTATGGGTTTAAATCTCCCAGATCTCTAAGACCATTAAGACAATAAGTTGAGTGTCTTAATGAGTGTCTTAGTTGAGTGCCTTAGACAGAGTCAGTTCTTGGGCATGCTACATGTGTAGTCAGTCACACAGAACCCCATGCTTAAGAGGATCCCATGCTTGGTTTAATGCTCTGCTTTTGCCATCCTGAAATTTTTGATAATTTTTAATGAAGGAACACCACATTTTTATTTTGTACTGGGCCTCACAATTTGTGTAATTAATCATGGTCATAGAGTATATAGGTGTCAGTAAAGAATGCTATCAGAAAAAAAGGGAGCGAATGAAAAGGGCAGCTTCTTCCTACCCTTGGTATGTCTTCCCTGATGCTTTAGGACAAGAAAGGGAAAGGAGTCTATCTCTTTTCAAAAATTAGCTTTTTTATATCTTCTGGCATCAAGGAAGTAATGCAACATCTGAAGCCCAGCTAGGGTGTACCTTTTGATAAAAGTGAAACTACTTCTCCCTATGTCTATATTTTATGTCCCACAACCGTTTGGCATAACCCTTATGCCACATAAAAAAAATAAGAGGGCATTATCAGGACAGATGGAAGAAGCAAGTCTATAATTACAACATTCATGCCTAAATTCATGTCTTTAAAAATTTATTTTGTACTTTCCTCAAGAGGAGTCTTGGTGTTTTGTAACCCACAACCACTTGAGGACACAAGAAAATGTTAACATGGAACTAGAATTTTTTCAATGCCTTAGGGCCAATGATATTACCGGGATCTGCATATATCCTTCTCTAGGGTTAAGCATATTCTATAATACAACTACCAAACTTTGTAAGTATAAATAAGGAAAAAGCGTAGAAGCCTGTATATCCTCTTATAAACATTACAATGTAAATAAGCATAAAATTTCATGGCCTTTAAGAATAATTAAGTTCAATCCAGTGAGATAATGGTAAACGTAATATAGGCCAAGACTGCTGCCTATTTCTTTTTTTATATTCTGCCATTCTGAACACAATTTTGAAGACAGTAATTTGCTAGATACACTGAAAAAAAGCTTAATAGAACATTGAACCTTTATCTAAATTCAGCTGATAGAACATCTGCAGGACAACAAAGCTATGTTGGCATTGGCATTTTTACATAGCCTGAAAAAACTAAACCATTTGGCTTTCAGGTTTATTATCACTACCACCAAATAAATTGTGAAGAAATGTTCTCACCCTGTTATCCAAGCCTCACCACATAGTCAACCCCTACTCCTGGGATAAGAGACAAGATGATATTTAGATAAATATAACATCAGGGAAAGGCAGGTGTAGGATTAAGGCACCAACAGATAGACAACCACAAACAACCATGAGTTATAACTTACTTTACTTACTCACCTAAGAATGACTTTTTAGTCTTTCTAAACAGTTTTCTCATTTTCTGAGAATTCAGTTTTACTTCTTATATAAAACATTAATAAAAATATTGATTCTCTTAAAGTTATGAGTCATTTTCATACACTTTCAATTCATAATTAAATTTGGCTCCTGAATATTTTCTATGTGAACATCTAGAGGATGAATACCCCTGATTTTGTAGTCAAACAAATCATGCAAATTTTATTTGGTTAGGTGTATCTGGTAGAAGGAAACTATTTGGGTTCCACAACAAAGTCTTATTCTCTGCTCCATCCTTAATAGAAACTCCATAATTTGATTCACCTAAAATAGGGAGACAAAGAAAGAACCCACAATCAAAAGGAATGGAAAAATCCCCAGTAAAAGAACTAAATGAAATGGAGGCAAGCAAACTATCAGACATAGAATTCAAAAGAATAGTTATAAGGATGTTTAAGGAATTCAGTGACAGCTACAAGAACTGAATGGGAACTACAACAGCATGAAAAAAAGAAATAGCAACTATGAACAAGAACCAGGAAGAAATGAAGAATACAATATTTTGAAATAAAAAATATACTAGAAGGAATCACAAGCAGTCTGGATGAAGCAGAGGACTGAATGAGTGAGCTGGAAGATGAGTTAGAATGAAATACCCAGCTAGAGAAGCAGCATGAAAAAAAAAAAAAAGACTAAAAAAATAGGAGGATAGCTTAAGGGAACTTCAGGACAACATGAAATGCAACAACATTTGAGTCATAGGAATACAGAAGGAGAAGAAAAGGAGCAAGGGACAGAAAACCTGTTTGAAAAAATAGTGACAGAAAATGTCCCTATCCTGGAGAGGGGAAAAACCATGCAAGTTCAGGAAGCACAGGGGGTCCCAACAAGAGGTACCCAAAGAGGCCCACTCCAAGACACATAATAATTAATATGCCAAATTTTTAAGGGAAAGAAAGAATCTCAAGAGCAACAAGAGAGAAACAGGAAGTAACCTACAAGGGAGCACCGATGAGGCTAGCAGCTGACTTCACAACAGAAACACTACAAGCCAGAAGGAAATGGCAAGAAACATTCCAAATAATGAAAATCAAGGACTTGCAACCAAGACTACTCTATCCAACAAGGCTCTCATTTAAAATAGAAGGTGAAATAAAAAGCTTCCTAGGCAAAAGAAGGCTAAAAGAGTACATCTCCACCAAGGCAGCACTGCAAGAGATGATAAAGAGACTGCTATAAAAAAGGAGAAGAAAGAGAGAGAGAGAGAACCACAATTATGGTAAAAATGGCAACAAATAAGTACCTATCAATAATAACCTTAAAGGAAAATGGATTAAATGCTCCAATCAAAAGACATAGGGTAGCTGAATGGATAAGAAAACACAGCCCACATACATGCTTTCTACAAGAGAGTCACCTCAGAATAAAAGACCTACACAGACTGAAAGTAAAGGATTAGAAAAAAATATTCCAAGCAAATGGATAGGGAATAAAAGCTGGGGTAGAAATACTTATATCAGACAAAATAGACTTCAAAAAAAAAGGCCATAAAAAATAGACACAGAAGGATACATCATAATAATCAAAGAAAAAATCCATCAAGAAGACATAAACATTGTAAATATATATGCACCCAACCTAGGAGGTCCCAAATATGTTAGAAAAATCTTGGAGGACTTCAAGAAAGCAATAGACAGCAATACCTTTGTAGTAGAGGATTTTAACAACCCACTATGAACAATGAATAGATTTTCCAAACAAAATATCAACAAGGATATTTTGGAACTGAATGATGCATTAGATCAAATGGACTTAGCTGATATACATAGAACCTTTCATCCCAAAGAATCAAAATACACATTCTTTTCAAATGCACATGGAACATTTTCAAAGATAGACCGCATGACAGGACACAAAACAAGCCTCAACAAAATCAGGAAAATTTAAATAATAACAAGCATGTTCTCGGACCACAAGGACTTGAAACTAGAAACCAACCTCAAGGAAAAAACTCAAAAACATTCAAACTCATGGATACTGAATAGCATGTTATTAAACAATTAATGGGTCAATGATGAGATCAAGAAAGAAATCAAAAAGTTTCTGGAAATAAATGAAAATGAACACACAACAATCCAAAACCTGTGGGACACAGCAAAGGCAGTCCTGAGAGAGAAGTTCATAGCAATGGAGTCCTACCTACAAAAGATAGAAATATTTCAAATAAACAACCTAACCCTACAGCTTCAAGAACTGAAAAAACAATGACAAATAAAGCACAAAGCGAGTAAAAGAAACGACATAATCAAGATCAGAGCAGAATTAAATGACATAGAGACTAAAAGAACAACTCAAAGGACCAACCAATCCAGGAGCTGGTTGTTTGAAAAGATAAATAAAATCGACAAGCCTTTAAGCAGACTCATCAAGAAAAAAAGAGAGAGGACCCAAATAAATAATATCAGAAATGAAAGAGGAGAAATGATACCACAGAACTGATACCACAGAAATACAAAGGATTGTAAGAAACTACTATGAACAATTATATGCCAAGAAATTTGAAAACCTGGGTGAAATGGGCAAATTTCTAGAAAAATACAATCTTCCAACACTGAATCAGGAAGAAGCAGAAAGTCTGAACAGACCAATAACAGCTAGTGAAATTGAAGCAGTAATCAATAAACTCCCGGCACAAAAAAGCCCTGGAACTGATGGCTTCACAGGAGAATTTTACCAAACATTTAAGGAACAGCTAACCCTTATGCTTCTCAGGCTAGTCCAAAATATCCAAGAAGAGAGAAGGCTCCCAAACTCTTTTTATGACTCCAGCATCATCCTAATCCCAAAACCAGATAAAGACACAACAAAGAAGGAAAACTACAGACGAATATCACTGATGAACATAGATGCTAAAATCCTCAACAAAATATTGCATGCAAACTGCATGCAGCAATACATTAAAAAGATCATACACCATGATCAAGTGGGATTCATCCCAGGGATGCAAGGATGGCACAATATTTACAAATCAATAAATGTAATACATCACTTAAACAAAAGGAAAGACAAAAATCACATAATCATATCAATAGATACAGAAAAAGCATTTGATAAGGTTGAGCACCCATTTATGATAAAAAACACTCAGCAAAATGGGAGTAGAGGGAACATACCTTAACATAATAAAGGCCATATACGAGAAACCTACAGCCAACATTGTACTCAGTGGGCAGAAACTAAAAGTTTCCCACAAAGATCAGGGACAAGATAAGACTGTCTGCTTTCACAACTTCTATTCAACATGGTATTGGAAGTTCCAGCTGCAATGATCAGACAAGAAAAGGAAATGAAAGCATCCAAATTGGAAAGGAGGAAGCAAAACTGTCATTGTTTGAAGATAACATGATAGTGTACATAGAAAACCCCATAGACTCCACCAAAAAACTACTTGACCAAATAAGTGAATTTGGCAAAATGGTGGGATACAATGTCAATATTCAGATATCAAAGGCATTTTTTGTATACCAACAATGAAATATCAGAATCAGAAATCAGGAAAAAAATCCCATTTGCTATAGCAACAAGAAAAATAAAGTACCTAGGAATAAACCTAACCAAGGAAGTAAAAGATCTATACTTAGAAAACTACACAACAATGAAGAAAGAAGTTAAGGAAGACACAAATAAATGGAGGCATATACCATGTTCATAGACTGCAAGAATTAACATGATCTAAATGTCCAGATTACCCAAAGCAATTTATAGATTCAACACAATCCCTCTCAAAATACCAATGAAATATTTCACAAATATAGAACAAACATTTCAAAAATTTATATGGAAGCATAAATGACCCCAAATAGCTTCAAAAATTTTGAGAAAGAACAAAATAAGAGGGATCACAATACCTGATATCAAACTATATTACAAGGCCACTGTAATCAAAACAGTCTTGTACTAGCATAAGAACAGACACATAGATCAATGGAACAGATTAGAGAGCCCAGAAGTAAACCCATATCTCTATGGTTAATTAATATTTAACAAAGGGGGTAGGAACATAAAATGGAGTAAAAATGGCCTCTTCAACAAATGGCATTGGGAGATCTGGACAGCGTCATGCAAAAAAATGAAACTCGACCACCAACTTACACCATACACAAAAATAAATTCCAGATAGATAAAAGATTTAAATATAAGTTGCGACACCATAAAAGTCCTAAAGGAGAACATAGGCAGGAAAATCCCAGATATTCCATGTAGAATATTTTCACTGATATGTCCCCTAGAGCAAGGGACATAAAGGAAAGAATAAACAAATGGGACTATATCAAATTGAAAAGCTGCTGCACAGCTAAAGAAAACATCAGCTAAATGAAAAGGGAAACAACTGTATTGGAAAACATAATCACCAATGATACCTCAGACAAGGGTTGGATCTCCAAAATATATAAAGACCTTACAGGACTCCACTCCAGGAAGACAAACAATCCAATTAAAAAATGGGCAAAGGACCTGAACAGACACTTCTGCAAAGAGGACATACAGAGAACCAGAGACATATGAAAGGATGCTTATCATCGCTAGCCAACCACAGTAAGTTACCACTTCCCACCAATCAGAATGGCCATCATAAACAAATCAACAAACAACAAGTGCTAGTGAGGTTGTGGAGAAAAAGGAACCCTATTACACTGTTGGAGAGAATTCAGACTGGTGCAGCCACTGTGGAAAACAGTATGGAATTTCCTCAAAGAGCTAAAAATGGAACTGCCTTTTGACCTGAAAGTTCCATTGCTGGGATTATACCCTAAGAATCCTGAAACACCAATTCAAAAGAACCTAAGCACCCCTGTGTTCATAGCAGCATTATTTACAATAGCCAAGTGCTGGGAACAGCCTAAGTGCCCATTAGTAAATGAGTGGATAAAAAAATTATGGTACATTTACACAACGGAATACCATGGATCAGGAAGAAAGAAGGAACTCCTACCCTTTGTGACAGCATGGATGGAACTGGAGAGCATTATGCTAAGTGAAATAAACCAGGTGGTGAAAGACAATACCATATGATCTCACGTATGAGTGGAACCTAATCAACAAAACAAACAAGCAAGCAAAATAGAACCAGAGACTTGGAAATACAGAACAAACTGACAGTGACCAGAGTGGCGGAGGATGGGGGGTAAAGGAAGAAGGAAGTGGAGGAGTTGTCAAGGAAGATGTATGAAGGACCCTTGAACAAAGACAACAAGGCAAGGGTGGGGGAGAATTGAATGTGGGAGGTGGTGGGTGGATAGGGCTGGGGAGAGTAATGGGGGGAAAGTGGGGACAACTGTAACTGAATAATAATTTTTTAAAAACCTAAAACCTCCATAATTCAATTTCTAACAGTGCTCATACCTCAGTAGTATGTTAAGCAGAAAGAAGATGTGATTTTTGTAGGTCAAAAACAGTAACCAATTTCACATATAGTTCAACTAAATATATCTATCATATTCTATATATTAACTTCTATTTTTCTTCCCCTACTATAATATAAACTCAATGAGCACAGGAACTTTGTCTCTTTTCACTGCTGTATATGCAGTTCTTAGAGCATTATTTGGGCCATAGTAATCTGTCAACAAAAATATGTTGCATGAATTAATTAATAAATGAATATTCAAAACTCCTTTATAATGTTTCTGGGCATATAGATAGAACTAATATCAGAGGTGTATTCGTTTGCTGGGGCTCCATATCAAGGTACCAGAGACAGGGTCGCTTAAACAGAAATTTATTTTGTCACAATTCTGAGGGCTAGATTCAAGATCAAGTTGTTGTCAGGGTTGGTTTTTTCTAAGGCCTCTCTTCCCTTGTAGATGCCAGCCTGTTTCCTCTTCACATGGTTTTCCCTCTGTATCTTGGATTAGGGCCCACCCTAATGGCCTCATTTTAACTTAAGGATTCTTTAAAGATCCTGTCTAAAAAACAGTTACATTCTGAGGTAGTAAGGGTTAGGTCTTCAACATATGAATATTGGGGGAACACAATTCAGCCCATAACAAGAGGTTAACCCAGTCCATAGACTTTCAATAGTAAGTACAGGGTGGGACAAAAGTAGGTTTACAGTTGTGAGTATGAAAAACAGCTTGTTCTTGTATTATTATTTATTTGTATTACAACTGTAAACCTATTTTTGCCCCACCCTGTATATTTTATAATAAAAGTTACATAAATTCATGAAAAGCTCCAACAATGCAGAAATAAGTAACGTCAAAGTCGCTAGTGTGTCACGGTTAAGATTCAAGTAATGTTTTTCAAGAGAGTTGTTGCCTTTGGCTCTTGGAAATAAATTGTAATTATTTTACATTTTAATATTTTTACACACCATTTTAATATGGTTCTATCAAAATAGATGAAATGGTCAAGTTAAAGAGACTATATAAAAATGACCAGTTTCTCCCGCTGCTAATGAAAACAATTTGTTATAGAGAAATAAAATAAAGTGTGGAGAGCAGTTTTTTTAGGAGGTAAGATGCAATCAGGGAGGAGTGAATAAAAAAACTTCAGTTATATTGGTAATGTTTTATTTGTTATGCTGCATGTTGGGTACATAGTTATCACATGATTTTTATGCCTTATAATAGTAGATCAATTTAAAAATCCATAGGTTCATGGACTTTCTAAACATCAAGTGTTTTTTTTATTTACATGTGGTTTTACAGTAACTTTCTTCTGAAGAATTAATTATTAGTAATATTAACAGTACTCTGAAAAAATTTTAATTCTTAAAAAATTTTTTCAATGGGAAAGTTAAACTTTTATTGTTGAAATCTTTGTAAGAAAATATTTTCACAATAGCTAGTCAAAGTGTATTAGTTAGCTAGCATATGAATTGGGGTACTTATCTTCTTTTCTTAGATTTTTATACTGTTCTTCAATTGATTATATTGCCCTTGATATTTTGCATTAATGATTACTGATTTTTACTTTAAATATTTGACTATATTATTAATTAAAATTTCAATATTCTAGTGGTAAAATATTGGGATGTTATAGATAGCAGTAACAATGTTTATGGTTTAATAACAAGGAAATGCTCTGTTTAACAGAAAAAAAGTTTGATCGGAATAAGCCCAGAAAGCCTCCTGTGCCATTGAGGACCGATCATCCAGTCATGGGAGTACAGAGCGAAAAAAATTTTGTCACTTCAAATGCAGCTGATGTCATTATGGGAGTGGCTAAAAAGCCTAAACCAATTTATGTTGATAAAAGAACTGGAGACAAGCATGATCTTGAAACTTCTGGACTAGTTCCAAAGTACATTAATAAAAAGGTAATACTATCCTATATTACTTTTAGAACTGAGATTCAAATAATCCAAATATAGTGTTCATAATAATTATCTATGTTATCATTAATAGTGTTCTGACTGGACAAATTATTTATTCTGCTGAAATCTGTGTTTGTTGCAAATTGAATGTAATGAAATTTTTAACATATTTAATAATTATAACAGACATTCTCTAAAAGTTATTAATTCTGGGAGAGGTAGATATGTCATTAAAAGCACAGTTCTTACTATAAATCTAGAAGGAATAACCTTTCAAAAGATCGTAAGATTTAGTCACTAGGTTTCAGTGTCTTGGTAGCAGAATAAGAGAAATAAATTTAGAGCCATCCATCCTATCAGAGTAGTATAAGCTAATTCCCATTGCTGTTTCAACTTGAATATATTCACTTGTTAGTTTGAAGTAAAGCAGGCCTTGAAAGTACTGTACAGCAATCTAGTCCTTTTGGGATTTTCACTGCTATTTGAAAAGGCACTAATCAGACAAACACATTTCATTGGTGAAAATTATAGAAGCTTGGGTTAAACTGTTTAAATATAGAAGATCTTTAAAATTTTAAAAACTTACCAAAAAATACCTTATCGAGAACCCATTTTACTTTGTATAGAGAATAAAAGTACTTGTAACACATAAAGTAAAATATAAGTGCCAAAACCTTAAAGAACAATAATATATAATAATAAGGTGTGGCAAAATAAGGAAGGAAGAAAGGAAGAGAAATAAAAGAAATCAAATTGTATTAGTGATGTATGAGGTGCTTGCGTTGAGGTAGTCAGAGATTTACTGTGAGAAATCAAAACAGGAACCTCAAGGCTGTTGTCAGAGAACACTGCCTGTTCTGTAGGCTGAAACACCTTTGGAAGACTTTAGCAGGAACCTAGGAGTCGGCAGCACATGCCAATTATTTCAACCTGCTCTGGATACTACCTCCTTCTGTGGCCCCTGGAGGCTGCTCACAGCCCTTGTCCCATAAGGTGTAGAAAAGCAGAAATTTCACTCTCCTTGCTCTTTAAAGCTATTTCCGGTCTGTTATTTCTCCACCATCACATAAAAACTCTTCCCCTTTGATAGTCATACCACCAATTGCCACACACTCTACTCCTCCTTCTGGCTGCCTTCTGCCTAAGCTGTCCACTTCAATGTATTTTCTGCCTTAAGCAGAAAATTGAACTAAAAATACATTACAGAGAGAGGAAAATATTAAGTATGTCTACCTGTGCTTGTCTATCAAGCCATACAAACAGTGCACTATTATTGTCACCTTGGGGTTGGTGGCTAAGCAACCAGAGCTCATGAAGGACTTGACTCAACTTTCCACTTATCAGAGTTAAGTTTTTTAAAAAAATCTATTATTGATGAGTGAGATAGTAAGTTTTTTTAAGGACAATGTCATTTTTTAAAAATGAGTAAACCTCATGTTTTAGTTCCAAATAAAATATTATATGCCCATTGTGCCATGAGAAACAATTTGTGAAAACAAACTGAAGCATGAATGATGGCCTGAGATATATTAGCAATAGTAATAAGACATCATTTCATTTTCTAACTCTGCTACTTACTTAACTCTGTGATCTTTAAGTAGTTATTAAATTTATTACAGGGTTGGAGTGAGAACTAAGTGATATAAAATATATTAATCACATGACATAATACCTGATACCTACTAAAAATTCAATAAAGAGTAGATATTGATGTCATTATGGGCGTGGCTAAAAAGCCTAAACCAATTTATGTTGATAAAAGAACTGGAGACAAGCATGATCTTATATATAATATATGCAATTATTATTATCAATAGTATGTATTAGCCTTCAGTGATCCAACACATGTGAATATTTAAGATCACTGAAGCTTTTACCCACTTGTGAAATTGTTCTTTTTCCTAAAATTTATCATGGCATTCTTTTTATTAAACAGAGTATGCCAAATATAATTTAATCTTTTGTAATGACACTAAATTGTTATGACAAATATCAGTAATTGTACTGGGCTGCAATGAGGTGTTGCCCTCAGTGTTTCATAGGATGGATTAGACTGTTTACCACTGCACTAACTAACTGGAATACTGTGCTCTTAGCATGTATTTATAGAGTGCTTTGCAACTTTCCAAAACACATTCACAACTGGAATTTCTATCCCTTGTTCAGGCAGGATGGGTTAGGTTATGCTGTCATAACAAGTAACTCCCACATTTCAGTAACTGAAGGCAACGAAGTTGTATTGTTTGCTTGTGCCACATGTCCACTGAGGGCTGTTGGAAGCTCTGCCTCCTGTCCTCATTTTATGACCCAAGCAACACAAAACATTTCCCATCACTATACCAGACAGAAAAGGAACATGGCAAGTTATCCATTAATTCTTAAGGCTTCTACCCAAAAGGTACAGAGGTCACTTCCACTTATATTGGGCAAGTCAGGTAACATGGCTACATCTTACTTAAAGGGTATCAGGAAAGTATTCTCCTACTAAGTGCTCAAGAACCAGAATATTTGTGAATGGTTTGAATGACCACCCTCTTTCAACAGTTGCTTTCTGAGAGAGGTGTTTCCTGACCTTGTTATTTATCTAAAATAGCTCCTATTACTTTCTTCCCCCTTATTCACTTTTATTTTACCTTGGAGGATGTGTGTGTGTGTGTGTGTGTGTATAAAAATACATAATATATATGATTTTATACCCTATTTTGTTTGAGTTTCCTCTCACATTCCATGAGGACAGAAACTGCCTTTCTTATTCACTAATATACCTAGCACCAAGTACAAATAATTTTTTGAAGAATATATAAGGAATAGTTCTGTATCTCAATACAGTGATACCTATCACACACATTCACTAATCTTAAAGAATCACAGATCTAATCACATCACCATCAGTCCTTGTGAGCAGCTCAGGATTTTGCAGTTCCCCAAACACTTAGGATCCAAGTCAATTTTCTCTTAAAGCAGATGTGCTTTCTATCTTTTGAGAGCTCGTGTTTTTATAATGCCTTGGAAGTATGTATCTTTTATTTAACAAGACCTTGCTAAAAAGACTTCAATATATTAAAGATATTTCAAAGTAAAAGCTGAAGCAGAAATAAAGAAAAGCCAGCTCTTAGGGGTAAAGTAAGGGCTGAGTCATCAGCCAAGAGCAGGTGCCGGAAACATTCAGAACAGGGAAAACAACCTGCTGCAAATAACAGCTCTGATGGTTTTAAAACAGAATTGGGATAGTTCCCAATGTGGGGAAAAATCACTGAATTTTGTCATTTTGAAGTGTTTTAACTAAAGGCTTTAAGTCTGTACCATTTCTTTTCCTCCCAGTTATTGGTTGGTATGTGCACACGTATTAGAGTGCATTCAGGTTATTGATTCTTTTTTCTGAAAAATCTTTGTAAGGATTATGGTGTCACTCCTGAATACATATGTAAGAGAAATGAGGAAATAAAAAATGCCCAGGAAGAGTATGATAACTACATCAAGGAAAACCTGAGGAAAGCAGCTATGAAAAGGCTCTCCGATGAAGAAAGGGAAGCGGTGCTGCAGGTAAGTGTTCTATAATTTCTATTCCTATGAAATTCTTTAGACCATTTCTGAAAGAAAGTTCTGCCATCAACAATGAGTAAAGCCAGCACTTTGACTCTGAAATATGATGACTTTCTTTTGGTTATGGTGACAACTACATGCAGCAAAGATGACCTACTTTGGGAAAACAAAAGTTGTTATGTAGGGATTATTATTTGTTTCCAATTTGGTGAGCTTCTTCTTTTTTTTTTTTTTTTTGAAGTAGTGTTGTAAGGAAGCCCACCTTCTTCAACAAACATGCATAAATAAAGCAAAAATGCATTTTTTTCATTCTAATGTCCCTGAATTTAAACAAAAATAATACCCATAAAACAGATATTTTTCACTAGATGGAGCTCTAGAATAATTGAAGCTATCCCTAGACCAACATTGTTTTTTCTTTCCTATAAGCCAAATGTTCAAATTTTAAAGCAACTGGGTGTTAGGTTTTCCATATATTTTCTTTATTTTGAATAAAATAAAATATTGTAAGACAATATTTACATTGAGTGTTTACTGCAAAATTTTATCTGAAGCATTTGAAGTATTGGGGATATGAGCAGGGTTGTATTTATTAAGTACATACTTGTACTCTTCTACAGTCATACTACTTTGTAAGAGAAATAAAAATGGTACTTGTTATTTTTGAAAGCTTTCTACAAAACCATTTCTAGTGACCTTCTGAAAACAGAAAAACTTGTTTTCTAACTGCATTAATTTCTGTTGAAAAATGTATTCATATGTGTTATAAATTCTTAACATTTATCAGTGCCATAATCATCATCAACAAACATTTTGTAAACGTCTGTTCCATATCAAGTATGATGCTAAGTTCTGAGGATATAAGAAAGTTTCTTCTCTAGGAGTATTGTAATTTAATTGATGATTAAATTAAATTGCATGTCTGTATAGATCTTAAGTTTTATAAGGTTCTAAGGCACAAGTATCCACTGAAGGATATATTTAGGTCAGTAGCTGGGCCTTAAACTGCAGAATGAGAGGGGATCCAAGGAGTGGCCAAATGCTGTACAGTGTCTCTTTGTTGACAGCAGCATCCCCAGTGCCTAACCCACTGCCCAGTATAAACGTAGGTGTTTAATAATGGTAACCTGAAAAGAAGAAAAGAAGACAAGCTGGCAGAAGACTGGCAGACCTGGACGTGAGACTTTCATGTCATTTTCAGGAAGAGAACTATTCTTTGGCCCATTCTCATTCTCTCTCTCCCTTTCTCTCTTACTTGGTTTCTACCATTTTTAGAGAGTACGTGCTTTTGTGAAAGCCAGATTTTTATATCTAAATGATGCTGAAAAGTGAAGAAACAGAACTTCCCTCAAAAGGAAAAGGCTCTTCCCTCCCGCACCTTTTTGGCTGTAGTGCCCTTACTTTCTAACCTACACACTACAGAGTTTCTTCGCATGCCCTTTGATGTAACACTAGCAGATCCTCCATTGCTGCCTTATCAGCCAGGCAGTGTAGTAGTGTAGCCACTGTGCTAACAAAGCCACTGGCTATGTTCCTGACAAACCCTGAACCATGCTTCCCTTACTCACTAAGAGTTGCTATAGGTCTAAGACAATATGGTTGTATATCTCTGAGCAGGCCACTTTCTTCTGCTCTCTCTTCATGAAATAGCAGCCTCGTTATACGTGGAAGAGATTATCTGGTCTAATGATTCCAAACTCGTTTTCAGATAAGAATATAAAATGCAAATATGTTAAGTGGGCTCATTTTTTTCATTCACCCATGGATACATTTATTGAGCATCTACTGTATTCCAGACACCGAACCCAGCCTGGAGGACACTGCAGTGAGCAAAACAAATGCAGTCCTTAGCTGAAGAGGGACTGAAACCCACATCAACCAATTCCCAAGCCAGTATTTTCCACTGCATTATATACACATGCATAGGAAGTAACCAAAGGAAGCTCTATCAGTGAGTGCTGAAGCAGGAAATAGAAGGCACACTCAGCTGGGACTCTGAAGAGAGTTTTTAAGGACCTATTTACAGATGTGAAGCGGGGCTAAGGAAACCAACAAGAAACAATTGTGGTACCCAGGACTGAGGACAGTGGGAATCTGCAGCTCCCTGAGGCTTGAAGGGCAGGGCAAGACACCGTGTTACCAGAGCCCAGTGAGAACTGAAGCCTAGAAGACCCGCCACCTGACAGGCATTGTCACAGATGGATAAGCCAGAACTAGGGTCAGGTAATGTCAAGAGAGAAGGGAAAGAAAAGCCCCAACCTCTCTGTCCCATTATGGCTGAACTCAGGCAAAAGCTGGAGGACAAAAGAGCTGGGTGGTGGAGGGTAGTCCACAAAAGTCAACCCACCCCACCCCACCCCACCCCACTCCTAGTCACAGTGAACGGCAGGAAGGGAAAGAATGGATGGGGGTGGGGTGAGTACAAAAGGAGCATGAAACTGTATGAAGGCACTATATTATGACTGCTTCTCCTCATTTGAAGTTTTTTCCAAACTTAACAATCTTGTTTCAGCATAAAAATGGAAGAGGGAAAAATTCAGAAGTAAAAATAAGGGACAATCACTATTGCTGCAATGGATAAAAGATTTTTTTACTTAGATAACAAAAGTTTTAAAAAGCAGCAAAGATGTTATTTTAATATAATATGAAACCTTAGTTACATTTAATTCCCATTCCTGGCTATTGACTTTGATTCAAACATTAATGTACACACTGGAAGATAAAGCAAACTATGTTTTAAAAGGAAATACAGAGAAAAATGCAGCTGCTGTCACCACAAGTAATATGGAAATATCACCCAACTAAAAAAAAAATAAAATATAAAAAATTTAAAAATATATCAACCAACTAGAAATGGAAAAGCTTTAGTATTTGAAGTGTATAAATTTCCTCTCTGTAATAGGCACCCCTGAGAAGCACTGTGGAAACATATTTCCCATCAAATAGTGGAAGATGATGGAATAATAGAATTTCTCTGAGGACTTCTTTTTGGAATATATCTTATATACTATTAAGAACTATGTTAAACCATCCCACTCTTAAAAAATTAACCTGAATACTTTTCCTTCTACCTTTCTCCTTTCCCAAAGCCTCAGTAAAATCTCACTCATGTGTTCAAAATTTGTTATCCTTTTTTTCAACCAACCTATTCTATGTAGTATGCTGTATCCTATAATTATTTCTACTTAAGCATGGTATAAGTTGTTGAAATTATTTTGTCCTTGGAAAGTTTCTACAAGATCAAATTTTTACTATAAGGCTTTATTATGAAAGTATTATTACCATATATGACACATTTAGTCTTTCCATAAACCTAAATGTATGACCATTATTTTCCAGGACCATATTATCATGGCTATATTTTCATTGTACTTTCAGTTTTACCTTTTTTATTGTAAAAAAGTGACATTTGCATCCATAGTGAATAAAAGAAAGTGTTAATTTACAAGTTTTTATTGCATGAATTCAATTAGTAGTTTAATACCATTTTGTCAGTGGGGCTGCTAGTGCACTGTGATAAGAAATTGTAACTATGCAGAGATGGAAATAACTTTTATTTCTCCTAAGAGATCCGTAATGTTGAATTTGTTGGTTACTGAGAATATAAAAAATTAACTACATTATTAAATTATCATGTGTGTTACATTTAATGACATTTCAGTCATTTCTAAAACACATTAATGGGAAGTTTGGATCCCTTGGCTCTATGAAGGAAGAATTCCAATATATTGTAAGAGATATAAAAGATAATCTCTTGTGAAATTGAATGTTAGTATTTTGTACAATTCCATTTAGTCTGGTGTAAGAAAACATGGCCATGCAAGTCAGAATAAGTCTTTTGATGTGATTTCTCTGTTGAAGAATGGGAATGATGGTTTGAAAAGAAAATCCTAAAGAAAAATATTTTAAAATTTTGTAAGAAATAATTTTCTGGCCATAGCCAGTTGGTTGGAAGTTGTCCTGCAAACTAAAAGCTCACAGGTTTGATTCCCAGGCTGGGGCACATATGAATGGCAACTAATTGATATTTCTCTCACACATTGATGTTTCCCTCCCTCTTTTTCTCCCTCCCTTCCCCCTCCCTAAAATTCATACACATGTCCTCAGATGAGGATAAAAAAATAATAACAAATTTTTTAAAAGAAATAATTTTCTGTTTAAAAATGTTTTTGCCTGAGCACCTCAATTCTAAGTTGTTTTTACCAAAGCATTTGCTGTGATCTTAGTTTCATACTACACATAACTCAGCATACGCGTATTTGATGGTAAAAACAAGTACAGTAACATTGAAAACAGAGCAAATAAATACTCCCAATGGGAACTGAGCACACAATCAGGACAGGGTTTGGCCTCTGTACAGTATTTTTTGCTACTGTGGCCAAGTACTTGATAAATACATATCATTTTAAAAGTCATTTTTGTCCATTTTTAACCTGTTTACATTTGTCTTACTAGTGCAATTTTCTTTATTATTTACAGTGTACTTTCCTTTTGAAGTTTACTTTAGTATTTATAGTTTTCTTTACCATTTTTAGGGGCTGAAAAAGAACTGGGAAGAGGTGCATAAAGAGTTCCAGTCCCTCTCAGTCTTTGATTCCATGCCAAAGAAAGCCCATAAGCAGAAGCTGGAAGAAAAAATGAAGCAACTGGAACATGATATTGGTGTCATAGAAAAACACAAAATTATTTATATTGCCAATAAGTAATAATGGATTATTAAAGTATAGTAATTCTAATGTAAGAAAGAACATGGAAAACCTACAAATGAAACTAAATTTTTCAAAGAGGAAAATACTATGAAGAGAATAAAAATAGTCTTTACCAAATGCTTAAGTAATGTTTAAAGAATAATTGGATTTTTTCCTTACACAAGAGAATTTTCTTTTACCAATTTCAGGCTTTTCATGTATAAACTAATTAGAGTTTAATGTTATCTGTACCACTTCTATAGTGTAAGTATTATTATTATGTACTTGTTTTACATAAACATCAATTTCTGAACCCAGAAAAATAAAGTCAGTACTCAGTATTTTATATTTTTTTCTACACGACATGATTCAAGGAACACAACATTAAAAACTGTTAAGTATTTTGAGTAGAAGTAGTGGCATATGCTTTCTTACTACAGTAAAACGTTTTCTACACATTGTTTCAGAGCTCCACAAACTTAACAACATATATTCTCTGGTAGCTTCTCTCATTTGCAGCTATTCCCCAATACAAATATTTTCAATATCTATAAAGTTATGTATGCTGGAAGGCTTACATTTGGAAGAAGAACTATTAAGAAGGTAACATAAAATCAAGGAAACAATTTATAAAATGCATCATTAAAGAGAATAGCCTCCTTCCTGACATCAAACTTTTCAAAACCTTGCTACTATATATATTGCACTAAAATAGGATGTTACTTTTCCTTTTTGGTCCTTCCAATCTATGAACATGGGATGTATTTCCATCTTCTTTGATTTTTTTATCAATGTTTTGCAATTTTCATTGTGCACATCTTTTACCTCCTTGGTTAAGTTAATTTCTAAGTATATATGACACTACTCTAAATAGGATTGTTTTGTAATTTCTCTTTTCAGATTGTTCATTGTTAATGTATAAGAATTGAAACTGATTTTCGTGTGTTGACTTTGTATCCTGCTATTTTGCTGAATTCATGTATTAGTTCTAACATATTTTTGGGTGTGTGGAATCTTTAAGGGTTTTCTACATATAAGATTATACAATCCACAAACAATAATTTAACGTCTTCCCTTCTCATTTGGATGCATTTTACTTCTTTTTCTTTATTAATTTCGCTTGCTAGAACTTCCAGTACTATGTTGAATGGAAGGGGTAAAAGCAGGCATTCTTGTCTTGTTCCTAATCATAGAGAAAAAGCTGTCAGTCTTTTCACCATTGAGTATAATGTTTGCTGTGGGTTTTTAACATATGGATTTTATTATGTTGAGATAGCTTATTTCTATTCATAGGTTTTGTGTGTTTGTTTTAATCATGAAAGGGTACAGTAAACATCAATTTTTAAACTAAGAAATATCTTTCACCTGAATGATCAATGCATTCTCTTCTAGTTATCAAGCTATCAAGCTATGTGGGAAAACAAATAATAAGCAAAAGTGTACCTTCGCTAGAACAGAGTTAAAAAAAAAAGAAAAAATTTAGATTATAAAAATTTCTTCAGCTAACAGAGCTCATTCATTGTCATTCAACAAATACTGTCTATTACTTGCCAGGAACTGTTCCAATTGCTGGACAGAAAACAAATAGCTATGTTGGAAGACAGAAATAATCACACAAATTCATTTATAATTATAAATTGAAATTAATGATAAAAAAATAGAAAGTTATACAAGAGAATATCAAGTAATTCTTAAATTAGATTTTATAAGTAAGGGGCTGCTTTTCAGAGGATGCTTTTTGAGATCTGACATATGAAAACAAACTATAGAATTAGCAGAAGTTGGGAGAGTTGGGGAAATAAGGGTTGTGGGGGAAAAAGATTTCCAAGCAGAAAGAATAAAATATTGGAAAGATCTCAGGATGGAAAACCTCAGTCCATAGAAGAAAGGCATCCACTGAGGCTGGATTGTGCTTAGAGAAGGGACAAAGTTACAAACTGAAGACAAAGAGGGAAGCAGAGGGTCACTGACATGTTTTATGCAGGGTAATGGCATGATGCAGTTGATGTTTTAAATGCTCACTTGCTACATAGATTGTAATGAAAGAACGAATGCATGAGGGAGACTAATTAGGAGACTATCATAATCTTCAGGTAAGAAAGACAGTGGCATAGACCAAAGCTGTGGTAGTTAAGACAAAGAATAGCTGTTGGCTTCAAGAAATATGTAAGAAGTAAAAATGGAATTTGGTGACAGATTGAAAGAAGAAGAAGACAGAGGTTTCAAGGATGAAAACCAAATTTCTGATTTGAGAAACTGGGCAGTAGAAGTGCCATTTTCTGAGTTGGAGAAGTCTAGAGGAGGAGCAGATTGGGAAAGGTTACAATGAAGAGAGCAAGAAGGTAATTTTTGACAAGGTATATATGACAATCTTGTGGCATCTAAGTGGAAATTTAGATGATGATAGATGATGATGATAGAAAGATAAATAAATAGACAGATGATAGATAGATATTTCAGTCAGAAAAGATCTGGGGTAGACCAGTGAATCTGGGAGCTCAACAGTATGAATGAGATCACCTGGGGACATGTATTGAGTCAGAGGACAATGAATGAGGTCTCAGCAAATCTTTCATGTAGAAGTCAGATGGGAGAGCAGGAAGGAGGAAGTAGATGAAAGGCGTCCTGAGAGGTCAGAAGGAAACCCGGAAGCCAAGAAAATTCAAGAAAGGAACATCCTTTCCCCAAGGTAGAACCTTGACAAGGAATGAAATTCTCAATACCTTGGCTAAGCTTTCTCCCCTGCTCTGACCTGGCTACAGGTCAATTTTGACTCCCCTGCTCCTGTTTTTATTTGAAGTCCAAACTCGTCTGTTGAAATTCTCTCTAGATATGTTGATGTCATTGGCCAATGTGACAACATTAGCATGTGATTTAATGTGCCTATTAATACAACCCACATGAACACAATTTGAACACCAAAGTGAAAGAAGCTTTTCAACAATGCAAGAAAAAATTTCAGCAATTAAGGAGACCAAAGCTGGTGAATATCATACTTAACTCTGAAGAGGGAAATTTAATTTCATTTTCAAGTTCTTAGTAACCTGCAGAAGGTGATTTATTCATAAACACTAGTTACCACAAATAGGAGACAAACATAGATAAGGGACAAAAAGAGCAAGATCATTTTCCCGGAGGGTTTGTTTCTTCCTCCTGAAATGTGCTGTGGTGAAAAAAGTCAGCAGATTTGACTCTGACAGTAAGTAATGTGACCTTTGGGAAATCACTTAGTGTACTTCAACTTTAGTTTCCACTGTTAAAAAAAAACTGACCTAGATTCTGCTCAACTCTCCTTTCACTTCTAATGATCTATCACTATAAAACCATATGACTATTTTCAACTTAGTTTAAGTAAAAGTTTGGTCACCAATCTGATCAGAATGCAGATAAGTGCTGGACTAGAGGATCCAGAGCCAATGCTTTCTTCCAGCCTTCATCAACCCAACCCTCCATTTGACATACTGGAAAGAATGTTAAGTAGAGCAAAAACCATCTCTAGTTTTCAGATCTTTTTAGATGAGAACTTTCTTAATTATAGTCATTTGAGGTTTTTGACCACAGGGTGTTCTTCGCTGTAAAGGATTTTAAATAGATGGTCTCTTTAGGAAACTAGTGCTGGAAGAAAAAAGGAAGGGAGAACAGGAGAGAAGAAAGATGGGGAGGGGGATAGGAGGAAAAAATTTCTTTAAAAAGTGGGATGTCTTTTAGCTGGAAAGGCTGCTTCTGATTAGAGAAGAACATTCTCTCTGGTCATGCCACAGCCTCTATGCCCTTAGAAAATATATGTGATTAAAAAAGAAAGAAATCTTGTCTTTACAATAAAAAAATTGTTCCATTCATTGCTGAATGAGGACAGGGGTGATAGCATTTTTTTTTCTTCACACATAATGTGCTTGATGAGAAAGAACTGAAATTAGCAACTGACTAAATTAATACTAATTATCCCTGAAAACTGAAGATAATGTTTCACAGGTTTGGTATAAAAGGGCCATGCACATATAAATTTTAAAATGTACAAGCAGATACGGTTTTTAGATGCAGACTTTTTATCATAAAGGATGCTGCTTCTATAGAAAATAAGATTGGATGGTTATATATATTTTTGACTCCCTTAATTTAGGCATGCAAATGAGTGTTGTCTATGGAACAAGGATATGCACTTATCTTAATGGTATTGCTGATGTGGAAAACATCTGTGGAGTTCTTTTGGAATAAAAGTGTCTACCCCACCCCTGAATCACTGCCACCAAGTTCTCTTATCTTGAGACTGACAATCTTATCAATTTTTATGCAGCTTTCAGAAATATTTTATAAAAGCAATGAATATATATGTCCTCATAAAATATACACAATTGTATACATATATTTCACTTTTTTAAATTCAAATGACGTCATGCAATAACACTTGCCCTTTTCAGTTAATAATTTTCTAGAGCTCATTTTTTATCCATACATAATGTTCTCCATTCTCTTTTTGTGGCTGCACAGTATTAAATTGTACATATATTTCACCGGCGCCCTATTAATGACATTTAAGTTACTTCATTTAAGTTGTTTTCAATATTTGTTATCCTAAGCAATATCACAGTGACTCCAAACATTCATCATTTCCCTCATTTGGTTATATTTGTAGGAAATCATTCCCAGGAGAAAAATAACTAGGTCAAAATATACGTGTGCTTGTAGTTTTATTCAAAACTATGTTTCATTTTACTCTGTGTGTTTGTTTGTGTGTGCAGGTGATCTATAAATGTGGTTCAAATTCATAATGTGCCCAAAGATGAGTAGGAGTAAGTCTCCTTCATGCCCCTTTCCTACAGCCACTGAAACCCCCTTGCCCGAAGTAAGCCTTGTGACTGGCTTCTTGTGTATCTTTTCAAATAATATAACATGCATATGTGCATGCCTAATATAAAAATAATGACAAATACATGGTTTTCTTCTGTCACAGTCTATGGGGATCAGAAGACTCTTCCCATGGGAGGCATCATAGATCAATGTAAGCATTCATGTAAGGAATAACTTTTTTGCTTCCTAATCTATCAACCACACACCATCAATATTGTGGATTCCATCAAGAAAGCAATAGTTTTATTGCCTTTTACTATGGCTATGTGTTCAGTCTGGATGAAAGAGAAGCCATGGCTATGGGATTTTGCCCTGTCCTTGGCCAC